ACCATGGAAGGGCTGCTGGGAGGGCTGAAGCCCGCCGGCGGGGCGTCCTCCTCCACGTTGTACAGGGTCTTGGTGCTGGTATCGGAGAAGGTCAGGCTCTTGCCAGAGCCTTGGTAACTTTTAGTGAGGGGCTTGATGACGGCCGTTTGGTTGCAGGCCGTCTCATTGGTCTTCACGTGCACAGAGAGGCGGTGCCACATGTGCTGTCCCTTGGGCACCTGTCTTCCACCTGGTTCAGACCATGACACAGACTTGCCATTAGAACTATGAATAAAATAGAGATGGGTTTATTTGCAGGTATTGCATGCACACGGATGAAACACATACACATCATTTTTTTTTTTGCAAGCCCAGCTCAATGCAATTGGATTTGCCCCTCGACTGTCTCCCACACCCCCAGCCTCTCCTTATTCCTGATTCAATGCTAAGCGTTCCAGTGACCCCAGGTTGGCTCCCAAACTGCCACTGGTGGTTCCATCCACCCCAAGATGAGGCAGGACCTTTTGACCCTGAGAAAAATTAGAGGGGAGAAAAGCCAGCCGGTTGTAGAAGCAGCTTTTTAGGTTTACGATTTCACAAGGTTACTACACAACCACACACACATACACACACACATTCTAAGGCAATGATAAAATTATTGCTCAATGCACGTCTTTAAAAGACTCCAAAACTTAGTTACATGTGAATAACAGAACACAGAGACCTCCCTTTCTTCTTAGTTTTCTTGGTCCCTGGAACAAATTCATACCCACAGACAAAGCTACTCTCATTGTCCTGCGGGGTTATAGCACACAGCTCTCAGCTGCCCATTCTGCCATGCAGGCATTTCCTGTTACCACAGCGGCATGCTCACACGCATGGTACCTGTGCGGGCGAGAAAGAAAAGCAGATGACAGGAAAACCCAGACCCGTTTCAGTGTTTCATAACTACCGATTTTCCTTTTATTTCCAAGCATCGCTCCTGACACATATGATGGATCACAACTCACATAAAGGCCCTGCTTCACAGCAGGTGGGGTGGGGTTTTCACACTGGGGACTTTTAACCAGGTGTATTTGAAAAGAGATAGAACCGGGAAGTCCAGGAAAATACAGATGCTCGGATCCTGCTTTAGTTCTCCGGCATAGTTTGATACCAATGAGACAAAATGAAGATTCAGATAAAGCAAAACTTACTGAGACCAAAAACCCCTTCCTGGCTTTTCCTCATTGAACCCTGATGAAGGAAAATCCCAGGGCAACAACAGCCCCCAGACTTACCCATTCCATCTTCATGGGGCCCTCATAAAACCAGCTACGTAGAATAGAAGCAGCAAAGGAAATAGACTGTGTGTGCCCACTACAAATTCTATTCTGTATGTTGTAATAACTATGGTCTTACTTTTGGACTCTTGGCTTATTTTCTATGTAGCTTTTTAGCAGATGGTGGTACTTTACCATAGCATATTATTAATAACAACAATGTTAAAACTTAAATCGGGAAATATTTTCTCTTCTGTTTTATTAGGAGTTTTTGCTTCTGCTATATCCATGAAAACAAGAAAGTAGCACAAAAAGAACACGTGGAGACATTAAAAGGAATAGGTGGATGTGTAAAATAGATTATTCCACATTATAATCTTTTGTTTGAAAAAAGTAGGAAATGATCAATAGTTAATATAATGGCTTATTTAATCATTTTGAAAATGCAGGTATGAATGCTTCAAAAGTTATATGTGAGTGTCACATTATGATGAGGATAATATTTTGACATTTCATACTTTATAATTTGAAAAGTGAAGTGAGCCAAGTAAGTACCGATTCTTGTAAGAATCCTGATATCTACTATAGAAATTCTAGATATCAAGGTTCTAAAATAGATATAATAGCTAACATTTTGATCTCATTATTTGTGCAAAAGGTAATTCCTCCATAGATAATGATCATCTATGCTGTATTTTTAATTGTCTAAGAAAAATCTCATCTCCAAATTGTTATATTAAATTTAATATTAAAACTATAGGTAAATTCACCTCCCACTTTCATCTTCCTTAATCTCCTCCATCTCCACTCAACTCACACTGTTTCTTTATGAAGTCAATATACTCCTTCCAGAAAGTATAAAACTTATATTTGCCTCTGGCCTTCTCATATATGGTATGTCTTACTTGGTGTTCCATACAACCTCAATGACTTCTATCTTCTTTCAATGGAAATAGAAACACTTTTTCCTTCTCCAAATTCTTGCCTCTCAATGCTCATTCAGAAAACCCTTAAACTAAAAAAGATGCCTTGTGTCTTCATTTAGATATGTGTGTGTGTTTTATAAAACAAGTCCCTTGAAAACAAAAACACTAACTTGAAAAGACCTATGCACTCCTATGCTCATTGCAGCATTACTAGTAATAGCCAAGATATGAAAGTAACTTAGATGTCTATCAATAGACAAATAGATAAAGAAGAAGTAGTATATACATAATGGAATATTATTCAGCAATTTCAAAAGTATGTAATCTTGCCATTTGTGATAACACGGATGGAACTGGAGGGTATTATACCAAAAGAAATAAGTCAGATAGAAAAAGATAGTATCATATGATTGCACTTATGTGTGGAATTTAAAAACAAAACAAAAGAAATGAACAAACAAAATAGAAACAGACACATTGGTAAAGAGGACAAGCTGATAGTTACCAAAGGGGAGGGCCTTGAGAAAATGAATGAATGAATAAATAAATAAGTAAATGTCCCTTGAGAACAAGTCTGCCCCTACTTCAACCAGTCTCCACATAGACTAGCCAAAGGTGATCTTTGTCTTCCCATACACTAGCAAAAAAGGTGTCCTTGTATGCCTGGGACTTACATTACTCATTCACAATGGTTGTTTTCCTCATTGCTCAGGATTTCTACGTGGACCTCTTTTAAAATCATGCACTTCCATGTGTTAAAGGTATTATCAATCATCTTGCAGACAGACATAATCATAATTTAGTTCTGTTTTAATTTGATACACTTTTTATTCTTTTGGTGGGAGATTCCCTCCTTTTTCCCCCCCCCCCCCCCCCCCCCCCCCCCCCCCCCCCCCCCCCCCCCCCCCCCCCCCCCCCCCCCCCCCCCCCCCCCCCCCCCCCCCCCCCCCCCCCCCCCCCCCCCCCCCCCCCCCCCCCCCCCCCCCCCCCATTGGTCAAAATTAGCAGCTTTCCTTCCCATAGAGCAGCGGTTCTCAACCTGTGGGTCGCGACCCCTTTGGCGGCCGAATGACCCTTTCACAGGGGTCTCCTAAGACCATCCTGCACATCAGATATTTACATTATGATTCATAACAGTAGCAACATTACAGTTATGAAGTAGCAACGAAAATAATTTTATGGTTGGGTCACAACATGAGGAACTGTATTTAAAGGGCCAGAAGGTTGAGAACCACTGCCTAGAGTCTTGCTCTGAGTCTGCTGTAAAGTACTGTTTAATTAGGAAGCAATCCTAATCCCCCAGGGCATTGACCAGAGTATGAAAGTTAGAATTTTTTTTCAAGGACAACATAAATTGTTTACTAAAATCCAGAGATAGTGGAGGAAAAAAGTATCATCTTGTATAAAGTGCAGTACAGAGTATAAACTTTGGCCCCTGGAGTAGTTATTTCTAACCTGCGGTTCACAGACAACTTGAATTGTGAATTTACATGGGCATTAAGCATGTAATCAATAGACTGAATCAATAGTATGTCTTTGTAGATTAGGCACTGGGTTTTTTGGTGTGTTTTTTAAAATATGTTTTTATTGATTTTAGAGAGGAAAGGAGAGGGCAAGATAGAAACATCCAGAAGAGAGAAACATCGATTGGCTGCTGCCTCCTGCACGCCCCCTTACTGGGGATCGAGCCCATGATCCAGGCATATACCCTGACTGGGAATCGTACCTGCATGGGAATCTTGGTGCATGAGATGATGCTCAACCAACTGAGCCACACCAGCTGAGTTGGGCACTGTTATTTTTTAATGCACGCAAATGCTGTTGTGCTAAAATGTACTGCTAGATACAAGTGCAACTAGATCCCGAGGAACTTTTTCTTGTATTTTGTGTTCAAGTGGCCACTAGTAAAGGTACAAATAATATCATAGATTTTGTTGAAGGTTTAATATCCATTTTGGTTTGTAAAGCAATCATCCTGTTTGAAAAGGTTTGGAGCCCATTCCTGATACCAAGAAAATATGGGGCAGCAAAAGGGATAAATGCACTATAAAAATAAAACGTTACTGTGAAATAAGACTATTATTTAATTTCAGATAACTCCAATACCTTATCAACGCCACCAACTTCTTCCTTCTATTATTTGATTTGACTCAGTTTCCTAATCTTAAGAAAAGCTCCCTGGTCTAGAAATACCACATAATTGATACAAAGGATCCCATCCTTCTTGCTCTTTCAAAAGACAGGTATCAGGCCTAAACTAATCTCATATTTGAAGATAAAATACAGTAGTATTTGGTGTAACTACCTGGGTGGCTAAATATTTTTATTGATATGGAAGTTATTGGAGGAAACCCCTGTTAGGCCTGAGAGGAAGGAACGGAAGATACACACCCATAGTGTTCAGAGCTAAGCCCCCCAAACAGAAAACCCAATATTTACAGTACTGAAGAGACTCATTGGAAGTGGGTGGTGCACACAGATCAGTATATCTTAGCGGTCAGAGTGATACTGTCTCATTTGTCTCAGTAAGTACTAGTTACATCTGCCAAGAACACTGCTCTCTGCTCCAGAAAGGTCTAAAACGGGAATAGCAGTGGGTGGGTGTTGAGATCAGGAGGAAAGCGTCCTGAACAAGCTGCCTGAGGGGGAAGCTCACACAACACCTGTCTCCCTTATGTCCAATTCAAGGCTTAATAGCTTCCCAACAGACATGAGAATGGCATCCAGAGAGCCCACAGACGAGGAAAGACCTTCACGAGGGGGGGAGGGAAGACCCTCCTAGGAGCCCGAGGAGGTTAGCATTTGTTTCCTCTGACAAGGAAAATGGAAAAAGAAATGCCATCGGGCCACAGCCTGGAGAGAATGGGGTACCAAGTTAAGAAAACAAGCCAAAGCCACAGACAGGCGTGAGGGTGATTCTGCCCAGGCCTTGCAGCTATGGCTGAGACAGGAGGCCTTTCAAGGAAGGGGTGGTGCTGTCTCCACGGAGACATGCCAAAGATCTCAACTCTACCTACTTAAGTGCACTGGTACCAAAATGCAGTTTGAGTGGTGATGTTTGTAGAATCTCAGCCACAGGAACTATTTGAAATCACTTGAATCAGACAACTGTTTTCCCAGGCAACCTCAAGCTAGTCTTCGATACAAACAACTCCCATGGAATCCAGTTCCACTTCTTGAAGACTTTCCAGAAAAACCTGCATAGTCAGTATGCATTCTCAGGGAGCCCATCTGATTGTAATTAAAATCTCTCACTTTTTGATTCACCACTAGTTGTAAAATAGAGAATCTGTGACTGTGTTATTCAAGATAAATGCTCTTTGATTACACGAGAACCTGGAATTTCTGCTGATATTAAATTTTAAACAGCATTGTGAATTTTATCCTTCTCTTCTTGAGTCTCACCTCATCATAAGCAAGCCAGAGAACTATTTGGCTAGCTGAAATTTACCATATTACAAAATCTAAATATATGGTCCCCTCAACTTTGAGTGGTGGGCACATGGTACAATATACAGATCTTGTAACATAGAAACCCACACCTGAAACCTATGTGTTCATGTTGACCAATGTCACCCCAATAAGTTTAAACAAACAAACAAACAAACAAACAGTCCTCCTTTAAGAATCTTTAGATCAATCACATTCTTTATCCTAAAGCTATATGATACTGGATTAAAAAAAAAACAGCACCAAGGAAATCCATTTGCCTTTATTAAGCCTGAGCTTTCTTCAATGAATTAATAAAGAAATTACCTCAACAAGGTCAATAAAGTAAGGAAGGCCCCATAAACTTTGGACATGGAGTCTACTGTCTTAATAAAATTGACAACCTAATTTGAAGCTAAAGAGCTGAATTCTGATGGTTACTAAACTTTTCCTAAGCACATATTAAACATGACTACTGGCTGATGGAAGAAATTCTCATGCCAAAGCTTATTTAAAATATCATATTGGTACAGAAGCATTGTTTTCGCGGCCATATGCCAGGTGTAATTATATTTCTCCGGGAAGTAGAGATGAACCTAGAACCTAGATTATGCTCCCTATGAAGAAATGCCAGGTCAAGCATTATCACTGCTTCTATGGTCCATGCTACCAAACCTATAGTTTAAACAGCAAGTCGTTTGATGCTCTTCAGCTCTACCTGGAGCCCTCACAGTTTACCCTGGAAACACAGGGCCGTTACATTGCTTGGCTGAGATTATTCCTCAGACCCAGGACAGATCTCGGCAGACCGTAATGGTCCAGTCGTCACCTTTATTTCCATCACTAGACCCTTCACCTTTCTTGTTTACAAAAGCTATGAGAACTGAAGGTCACAGAGAGTGCGTGTTTTCCCTTTTCTTTTCAGGAGCACCCCAGGCTAAAATTAGCCAGTCTTAGTCTGTTGGTGGCTTCAAAGCTACCAATATCTTCTTTGTCCTGTATAGTCTCCAGAAAGAAAGCTTGAATAGATCCTGATTTGAAAGTTCTTAACCAACTTGTTAGCTTTGCTGAGTGCTGCATTCACCTTCCAAGGCTGTAGCCACGCTCAGCCCTTGTTTTTAGGCACTCACCTTTATGTCATGAAATGTTAGGAGGCTCTCCTCTCCCTCTGGCTCTGCTGTCATGACAAGACAAGTACATTTACTCTCCCCATCAATACATTTTGACAGGCAGCCAGCAGCTGTCATAATCAGGACTTCCTTGCTGTGTCCTTGGTCAGACTCAATGTCTGGCACAAGAAACACTCAACGGATTTTGACTGGGGAGAATTTTTTAAAAATGCATCCAAGCAGACTAGAGTGGCTTTGATCTATAAATACAGGAGCCTTCAAACCGCCACGTGAAACATATTGACATTGCTACTATATTTTTCCCTCTAAGAGTCAATATAATTTGGTTTCTATTTGGGCCTTTTAAGGTTCTAGCAGAACACAGACTTCCCAATGCACTCCACTGAGTCAAGAGAAGAGATGCTAGGGCCCCATTCACCAGCCTCCAAGGCCACGTTCAGTAGCAAACGTTTGAGCAGATTAGGCCCTTCTCATCTGAAGAGCAATGAAGCCACAGACACCTCGTCAGTGGGTTCCCTCCTGCTGCAGGAATGTGTACCTTTGACTCTCCCAGGAGTTTGGAGGGCTGTAAAGGAACAGCTGAAAATGACCACAGACTCCGTGCACAATGAATTGAACATGGTCTATGTTCTTTTGTTAACTTAAAGAGACACTGTCAAGATCTAAAGGTCAAAAATTGGACCAAACATGCATCGTTTTTATCAGATAGGGAAAATCTGATAAAAGCACTCAGAATCCTGGGAAAACAACTACTCTGCTTTTTATAAAACTTACTTTTTGTGGGGTTCACAAAACTTTTGTTTTGTGCTCCCCAAGGCGAGGGAGGCCCCCAAGAGAGGCTCCTGTGAGCGCCCACCCCTGAAACTGACATTGTGGAACTCTTCCAGAAGTTCAAGTATGGCTTTACTTTAATGCAGACAGGATCAATTTCAAACATCTGTGCAACAGCTAAAAGGCAGAAAAAGAAAAGAAAAGGAAAAAGCTCTGTTTGCCAAGGAGAAGCTGACAACTTTGTGAAAGGGGAAAATTCACTTTCAAGCTTGTGAGTGGGAGTCACAAACAAAAGCGAATCTCCATAGTCAGAAAAAGTGTTGCGTCTTGCACCAAAACATAAAAAAGCGAAACGACTAACAACTTGACAGTGTCCTTTTAAGAAAGATGGACAATCAAATTAAGGCAGTCGTGCAAACCATGGCACGTAAATGGTTCCTCATTCTGGATGGCATGCACCACATCTGTTTCCATGTTAGAAAGTGGAAAAACCCAGGAGAGAGAAAGCAAGGGCAAACCACTCTATTTTCCATGCAGCTTCTCTTACACATTCACTGCAGTGTGGGGGTTTTCAAAGCTGCACATGTGCCGACGGACACTGGCTGGTGGGCGAGAATTCTGGCTGCCTCTTCCTGAAGATTGAAAAGAAAAAGACACCCAGTGAGTGAGTGGTTATGCATGTGTACAGATAAGGCAATGACACCACTCAGGTGGTGCCTGGGGCTGGGGCAGGGCCTGGCCTGGCTCCTGAGCCTTTCTCCATGTCATCTCCACCTCCGTGTCCTGTAACTTCCTTACATATGGCTGTTTCTCCATCTCTGTGTCCTGTAACTTCCTTCCATATGGGTGTTTCTTACAGCCAGGCTCATTTCTGAAAGCCACATCAGTGGAGTGCATTCTTTGACTACGTCTTTCCAAGTGGCAGACATTATTCTGTTGTGTTTGTGTCTGTCCCAAATTAGCTTTTTCCCTCCCCTCTTGCCACCTCCCTTTATTCCCAATGATGGCTCATGGTTTTATATCTTACACCACAGCTGTTAATTTTTCTCCATATCATGTTATTATAAAAGCATTCTTGTCACTTTATATAAAGTCACATGTACCTCCTGGTCTAATGGTGGGGAAGAGGAGAGCGGCAAGAGGTTGAAGGCACCTGTCACAGGGGAGGATGCCACCTCATTCCTTGGTTGGATGCCTCCTTATAGAGCATATAGGGTAGATCGGGCAGGTGAGAGGAGCACTGACTGGACAAGATAAGCATAAAGGAGCAGTCATGGGCAGTCCACCTTTCCATTATTTGTTGGAGAATAAGTAGGTTTCCCATGAACTATGTAGCACTTCAGAAGGTGGTGGGATCAAGCCATCTTCTTGTCACTCCATGTAAGAGGGCTGCCAGTTACAGAGAAGAATTTCAGGAACAATATGTTCAAGGTGAACCATCAGCAGGTACTGTGGTGCTATGGATGAGGTTGGTTGAACTGGGGAGAATCTCCCATATTAGGGAACTCTGCAGTGATGAAGTCCCCTCTAGGGCTCTAAAAAGCCACAAATGTTCTCTATGAATCAGCATTGGACCACATACCCTAAGATCTTATTGACAATGATCCAGTGTTAATCAGAAGAGGATCACAACAGCTCCAGGCTAGCCAAAGACCTTGGTCATCTCTCCTCTTTCCCCATCAAAGACAGAGAGGAGGGGAACTCAGAAGAGCGAGGAGGAACTTACCATGCCCCTTCCCATTCCAAGTTTTTCAGGTTATGGCCTGACATGCTGGGAAGGAGAGGTGTCAGTTTGAAATTTGAAACAAGAATACACAAGAATAGCTTTTTAATACCTTAAAGCAAGGAAACTGATCTGAATGTAGAAGGTAGGGAAAAATATTCTCCATAGGACAGTTGATGTTAAGAGAGAAAATACTAGAATTTATCAATGTGTGTATTTCCAGTTTGGGCCATTCAATAAACCATTTGAAAATGTTCACCCAGAACAATTTGAAACCCCTCATCTAGAGATAAGAACTTGAGATACCTTGTTGTAACCTCATTACTCCTGCAGTAATCCATTTATTTAATATAGGTAGACAAAGAGATAATGATTGCTTTTGAACTTGTGAAAACAATATACTTCTGATCTTTAATATGCCCATCTGAAATTACAATGGTCATAAAAACAATGAGAACAATAGCAAGTAGAGGACATAAAGTAATAAAAGTATGATGTGTGAGTATGCAAAGGAAATTACCAGTAAGAAAGATCATTTAACCTGCAAAATAATATTACAATTCAATTTTTCATGACAGAGGCAGAAAATACACTCAAGACCCTTGGCTTTGCCTTGCTAACCTGCCTGCATCCTCTTGAATCCTCTCATTTTACCTACAGATGATGTTTACATGTTGTCTGGTCCAATGGTCTGGGGAGCCAAGACCCTGGCAGGGCTGGCTTCATGGTCCTGTGACTAATGCAGACACCAGGTCCCTCATCAGAAGAGCCCTGTACTTGGGGTTTAGAGCTCCATAGTCATCTTTTTGAAATTCATAATAATTTTATCTCATGATTTGTGTTTTGTGATGTTGGAGAGGAAAATGGAGCATGAACTTGGGACTTGGAGCCTCAGCTCAAGCACAGTGCTGCCTCCCTGAACTCCCTAAACAGATCTTTAGTTTCTTGCTCTCCTGCCCCCTGGGACTTGAGTCAGCCTAGTCTCCCACTTCCTTCCTCTGCCCTGGGATCACAGCCACCCTTCATGCTGCGAGGGTTCTCTGGGCACCAGCAGAGAAGATCAGGGTCCTGTGCACGTGTCCTGTAGTATCCGGAGGCAGCCAATGGCCAGGGCCCTCTCCTTCCTTGACTGGCAGGGCCACTGTGCCTCTTGCCCATCCTCAATGCCAGTGCCTTACAGGTCCCTGAACTGTTGTTGCAATACCCTTGGGACTCACCTGTCTACTAAGAGGTTGAAGGCACCTGTCACAGGGGAGCTCTGGCTGAAGCAAGAAGCTCATGGGAAGGGGAACTCCCTGGTTCAAGTTCTCAGTGGCATCTGCTCAGTGATTGGCTGGATGGGAACGTGGCAACCTGGGAACTGTGCACGTGCAGACTTGCACAGTGGAGGCTGCAGCTCCCAGAAGGGCCTGCACTTACCCTGTCAATGCCCTCCCTCCCCCGCCCCC